TGTTTGTTTGTTTGTGTGTTTGTATGTTTGGGAGAGGGGCTGGCGCTCGCTGTGTGCCAACGGGAATACTGGCAGCGAACACTAGAAAGTTTAGAGGGTGGCGCAGAGAAAAGGAAGGAAAGTCTCAAAGGCCCTTGTGAAGCCGCAGAGATCAAACAGCATCTGCTGACAGCTGTCACCTCCACCCAGTGGGTGCTGGCACCCGGGCAGGCCACGCCTTGCCAGGCACAAGCAGGCGCTCAAAATACACAAACAGAACATGTACGTTATTTCTAAAAAAATATTGCAGGAAAATGTGCCAACGCATTAAGATTTACTATTTTTTTAATGTTTGAAGTTCAAAAGAACTACCACCACTCTCGCCTTGGTGCACTGCTGATCAGGATAAATATAAAGAGAAAGCACAATCCCACTGCCGTTGATAGATTCTGATTCATAATCCCTACAAACGGGTTCCAAGGCTGTAAATCAGTGGAAGCAGATAACCTCATCTTGGTGCCCACCGATCAGGAATGATCGGGTTATGTTGCAATCGTTCCTAATGCACAGCCTTGTGGACCCTTGCTGAGGATGACTTTCACGGTCAGGAGTATTGGTTGGTCCGGTATTTTGTAGCATGCGCCTTCGTTGTTTTTTGTTGTTTTCTGACCAGGCCTATAGTTACCCATTCTCAAAACGACTTTTTTTTGTTTTGTTTTTTTTGAGCCGTTCTTCGCAGAGCCGCTGGTCTCTTGCTTCAACAGTGCTTGACCGGAACCGGGGCTCATCAGACTCCCGCCGCCAATCGGCCGCCCAGCCGGCTCCAGCAGCACCTCTCAGCCGCACTCTCACAACACCCAGCCTCCACCGCCGCCCTGACCGGTCTCCCTCGCAGGGGCGCCGGAACTACAACCAGGACGCTGACAGAGGCCGCCATCAACCGCCAGATCAACCTGGAGCTCTTCGTCTACCTGTCCATGTCTTACTACTTCGACCGGGACGACGTGGCTCTGAGGAACTTTGCCAAATACTTCCTGCACCAGTCTCACGGGGAGAGAGAACACGCCGAGAAACTGATGCAGCTGCAGAACCAGCGCGGGGCCGGATCTTCCTCCAGGATATCAAGAAACCAGACCACGACGACTGGAGAGCGGGCTCGGCGCCATGGAGTGTGCACTGCACCTGGAGAAGAGTCAACCAGTCCCTGCTGGAGCTGCACCAGCTGGCCACGGACAAGAAGGACCCCCATCTCTGCGGCTTCATCGAGACCCATTACCTGGACGAGCAGGTGAAATCCATCAAAGAGCTGGGCGACCACGTGACCAACCTGCGCTTGATGGGGGCCCCAGATTCCCGCCTGGCCCAATATCTCTTGGACAAGCATACCCTGGGAGACAGTGATGGAGAGAGCTGAGCGGCAGCCTGGCCTTCCCCAAGTCATCAAGGCAGCGCATGCATGTTGGGTAGACCTGTCCCTTTTCTAGAAATTGTACCCAAGCATCCACTTCCGTTCTTCCATTTGTACCTCTCCTTCAGATAAAGTCTAAAGTCATTTGATCTTGGCGGGGAGGGGCAAGAGAGCGGCCCCGGGCCCAGGCAGTCACATTTTTTAAGCCCCCCAGTTCCACCGCAAAATCCCACTTAATAAAACGGAGCTTACACACACACAAAAAAGATTTTTCTTTTCTCCCTTGGAGCCCTCACAATAACAAATACACTTCCTGTTCTTCTACTGTGCTATAGGCCAGTCATTCCTTCAGGAGGACGCAGATACCCTAAACTGGTGATATATGCTGCAACCTCAGTGATAACTTCTCTGGCCTCTCGTTCTCGGTCCTGCTGTGAGGGAGACTGAAACCCAAACCACTGTCTCTTCAAATCCTCCTTTGCCACCAATCCTTCTATTTTGGCCTAAAGAACAGTGTTTTCTCAGTTAATCTTCTATATAACTATTCTTTCATGTTCTATTTCTTGGATATATTGCCTTTCTTTCAACTCATTGATTTTCTCTTTGTCTCCTTCTAGAGTTTATACTTCAAAGCACTCAGCTAACGGAAAAACAGGCAGTTTCAAATCCACCAGCTGACACATGGGAGAAAGATGCGGCAGTCTGCTTCCGTAAAGATGTGTAACCAGGTCAGGCATCAAAGAACAAAAAATCATATTGTGAATGAGGGGGAGGGCGGAGTGGAGACCCAAAGCCCATCTGTAGGCAACTGGACATCCCCTTACAGAAGGGTTGAAGGGAGGAGATGAGCCAGTCAGGGTCCAGTGTAGCAACGATGAAGCATACAACTTTCCTTTAATTCTTTAATGCTTCCTCCCCACCCCCACCCCCACTGTCATGATCCCAATTCTACTTTACAAATCCGGCTAGACCAGCGCATGTACACTGGTACAGATAAGAGCTGGAAACATAGGGAATCCTGGACAGATAAACCACTCAGGACCAATAATGAGAATAGTGATACCATGAGGGGCAGGAGGAGGTTGGGGAGAAAGGGTAACTGATCAAAATAATCTACATAAAACCCCCTTTCTGGGGGACAGACAACAGAAAAATGGGTAAAGGGAGACATTGGACAGTGTAAGATGAAAAAATAATAATTTATAAATTATCAAGAGTTTGTGAGGGAGGAAGGGGGGGAAATGAGCAGATACCAAAGGGCTCAAGTAGAAAGCAAATGTTTTAAGAATAATGATGGCAACAAATGTATGAATGTGCTTGACATGATGGATGTATGGATTGTGATAAGAGCTGTATGAGCCTCCAATAAAAATATTTTTTAAATGTATAGCCCTGTAAACCCAATGGGGCATATTTATGCCAGCCTATGGAATTACTATGAGTCAGAATGGATTTGATAGCAATTTGTAGCATTTATACCAGTTACTAAATATTTCACTTACAAAAGCGCTTTTTTTCTCTGACATTTATATAGTTTCAAAATCATTTTTATTTCTTCGTGATCTCCTTGAGAAGCGCCATGGTTCAGTGTTCGGTGTGATCAGTCTCGTAAAGAACCCAGCCTTGGCACCCCGTCGGCAGCAGCGTGGTCCTACAGTCTCGTTATGTGGCACCTTCCACACGGGGGCAGGGGCTTTGGTTTCAGTTTTCTCTCTGAGAACCCACTTCAATTTTGAAGTGATGCACATATTATAATATTATTTCCAGTTTATTTGAAGTGGTTCATTTTGTTGGCCACCATTCTTCTCATCCCTACTTTGCTCCATCGGTTTTGTAATTTTTATGTGCAAGCTTAGTTTGAAAAGAAAGGTTTTCTTTCCTTTGTGTTAGTCTGGGCAGACGAGAGAAACAAATCCAAGGACACTGATTTGTGTATAGAAAGAGACTGATATACAAGAGCAATTGTATCTTGAGAAAACATCCCAGCCCAGTCCAGATCAAGTCAATAAGTCCAATATTATTCCATATGTCCAAAACCAATCTATAAATTCCTCTTCAGACTCACACAACACATGCAATGATGCTGGATGCAGGAAGAAAGATCACAGGCCAGTGGGTGGGAAGTCTTGTGGATCCAGTGGCAGTGAAAGCATCTCAGCGCTGGCGTGGGTCTCCACGTGGCCCCTTCAGCACCCAGGCTCTAGTGTGTCTTGTCCACAGGAATGTCTCACAGGGAGTGAGTGTGTGTCCCACTTCCAGCGGGCTATTTATCTCCTTAGTGCCTCCAAATGAGGTCATCAAACTGCGACCTGATTGACAAGCTAAACTTCACCCTTCACTCTTATGTCTCAAATTGACAACAGATTATGTAACTACTACAGCCATATAATTCACATATCATACCATTCAATAGTTCAATTATATCAAGAAGAGTTGTACAAGCATCACCATAATCCATTGTAGAACATTTTCTTCATTGTGGTACTCATCAATATTAGCTCCCCATTTTCCTGCAACCTCTCCCATACCCCCAAGGAACCATTAATCCAGTTACTGTCTCTATAGATTTACCTATCCTGGATTTCATATACAGAAAAATATTTAAAACAAAAACAACAATAACGGAGTAAAACAAAATATTAAAAACTAGAACAAATTTAAATGGATCATAATGGCGATCAAATGATAGGGTGCTAAATTTTAACCTAATTGCAACAACAATAATCCACTTTCCAGTGTGATCTGCATTGATTCTTCTTTAGTCTTCTTATTCAATGTCCAATTTTCATATGCATAGGAGGTAATTGAAAATACCATCACTTG